TTTCTGCTGCCCCCGGGGGCTGAGCCCCCTCCCCCCTCACGGAATTCCCCATCCCAGGGCGTTACGGGCGCCGGCTCAACGTGTGGGACTGGAGCACCCACAGGTACGTGCAGGCCATCGACGTGGGCGAGGATTCGGCGCCGCTGGAGATCCGCTTCCTGCACGACCCCGACGCCGCCCAGGGCTTCGTGGGCTGCACCATCAGCAGCGCCGTCCACCGCTTCTTCAAGACGCAGGTGAGGCATCCCAGATCCCAAATCCCAAATCTCACATCCCAAATCCCACATCCCAGATCCCAAATCCCACATCCCAGATCCCAAATCCCACATCCCAGATCCCACATCCCAGATCCCAGATCCCAAATCCCAGAACCCAAATCCCAAATCCCACATCCCAAATCCCACATCCCACATCCCAAATCCCAGATCCCACATCCCAAATCCCAGATCCCAAATCCCACATCCCACATCCCAAATCCCACATCCCACATCCCAAATCCCACACCCCAAATCCCACATCCCAGATCCCACATCCCACATTCCAGATCCCAGCAGGGCCAGGACACAGGGACATCATCCTACATCCCAAATCCCAAATCCCACACCCCAGCAGGGCCAGGACACAGGCACACCATCCTACATCCCAAATCCCACATCCCACATTCCAGATCCCAGGGCCAGGACACAGGCACATCATCCCACATCCCAAATCCCAGATTGCACATCCCAAATCCCAGCAGGGCTAGGACACAGGAACATCATCCTACATCCCAAATCCCCAAACCAGCTGGAAAATCAAGGGTGTTTTTTGCCCCCAAAGCCCAGGGGGGTCTTTAGGGTCTCCTTCTCCCCACGGCTCTGGGGGAGGCTGGAGAGGAGCGGAGCTGCTCCCAAGGGACGAGAGGTGGGGGTGCCCCACAGATGGGGGGGTCTCACCCCACCCCTGAACCCCCCCCCGGGGTGGTCTCTGTCCCCAGAGAGGCGACTGGGCCGCCGAGAAGGTGATCCAAGTGCCAAGCAAGAAGGTGGAGGGGTGGCTGCTCCCGGAGATGCCAGGTCAGTGTGTGTGTGTGTGTGTGGGGTGTGTGACGGGGAGGGGTCCCCAGGGGCTCTGCTCCCAAATCCAGCTCCCTCTGTCCCTTCCCAAGGCTTCATCACCGACATCCTGATCTCGCTGGACGACAGGTTCCTGTACTTCAGCAACTGGCTGCACGGGGACGTGCGGCAGTACGACATCTCCGACACCCGCCGGCCCAAACTGGTGGGGCAGGTGAGACCCCCCCCCCCCCACCAAGGGCTTATCCCACACCCCACTGCCCCCCATCCCCCGTGTCCCCTTCGGGGAATCAGCCAACCCCTTCCCCCTGCAGGTGTTTCTGGGGGGCAGCATCGCCCGGGGGGGGCCGGTGAAGGTGTGTGAGGATGAGGAGCTGCGGAGCCAGCCCGAGCCCTTCGTCATCCAGGTGAGCTCAGGGAGGGGGGGAACCCCCAAAATCCCCATCCTTTTGGGGGGTGTAGGGTGGAGGTGGCCCCACTGGTGGCTGCTCCCACCCCGCTGCAGGGCAAGAAGGTGGCGGGGGGGCCGCAGATGCTGCAGCTGAGCCTGGATGGGAAGCGTCTCTACGTGACCACGTCCCTGTACAGCGCCTGGGACCGGCAGTTCTACCCAGACCTCCTCACGTGAGTCACCGTGGATGGAGGAGGGGGGGGATGCTCCTGTGGGACCCCCCCCTGACCTTCCCTGCTCCCCCCCTTCCCGCAGGGAGGGGGCTGTGATGCTGCAGATCGACGTGGACACTGAGAGAGGGGGGCTGGCAGTGAACGAAAACTTCCTGGTGGATTTTGGGAAGGAGCCGGACGGGCCCTGCCTGGCCCACGAGATGCGTTACCCTGGGGGGGACTGCACCTCTGACATCTGGATGTGACCCCCCCACCCCCCCCGTGTCCCCCCCCTCCCAAAGCCCCAGGATTGGGGAATTCGGGGTTTGGGAATTGTCCTGCGCAGGGGGGGAGATGAAAAATAAACCCCGAGGTCGTTTCACCGCTGGTTTGAGTCGTTTCCTCCTCTTGCTCCTCCTGCCCCGGGGCCCAGGCCCCTTACACACGTTTTACACACGTGTCACACACATGTTGCAAACACATTACACACGTGTTACACACACACACAGCGCAGAGTGACACCTGTTACACGCACACACGTGACCTCAGGGAAACACACTTGACCCCACACACATGTTGCACACACCCCCCACACCTGTTACACGCACACGCGTGACCCCTCCACACACACACACGTGACCCCCCCCTCCCCGACCGTTGCCCCCGCCCCCCTGGCGCTCCCGCCTCCCGCGCGCCCAATCAGCAGCCTGTTACCAGGCAGATTTCGGCTCCCGCGCCGCCCGCCCCCCGTATCCGGGCAGACCAGCCAATCGCATTAAAGGAGCGGCGCGTATCCGGGCAGACCAGCGGCGCGGCGGCCAATCAGAAAAAAGCGGTCGGCGGGCTGCGGGGCCGTCCCGCTCCCGCGCAGCACTTTCGGTTCGCGGGGCGCGGGAGCGGCACGTGGCGGGACCCCCCCGGACCGGCCGGGTCAGGTGGGTGTGGGGCCGGGGCTGGGGGGGACCCCCGGGGCCACCCCACCGCCACCGGGCCCCGCTGCCGGGACCCGAGGGGGCTGCGCAGTCACGGAGCCCCCGCACCCCCTGTCCCACCGGGACCGGCCCGGAGGGTGACCCCGGACCCGGGAGCCGCTGGGCACGGGGACCTCTGCCCTCCTGGTATCCCGTGTCCCCATCTCCCTGGGACCTGCTTTCCTGGTGACCCGTGTGCCTGGGAAACCCCGCTTGTCCCGGTGTCCCATCTCCCTGGGGACCTCTGCCCTGCCGGTGTCCCGGTGTGCCTGTTCTCTCCCGAGATCCCCACGCCCGTGGTGACCTGCCCTGCTGGTGTCCCGTGGCCCCGTGGCCCTGGGGACGTTCCCTCCCGCCAGCGCCATGTCCCGTGTCCCCGTGTCCCCATATCCCCGTGTCCCCATATCCCCGTGCCATCCTACAGTTCCCGTGTCCCCATATCCCCGTGCCATCCTACAGTTCCCGTGTCCCCATATCCCCGTGCCATCCTGCAGTTCCCGTGTCCCCATATCCCCGTGCCATCCTGCAGTTCCCGTGTCCCTGTGCCATCCTACAGCCCCATGTCCCCAGCGACCCTCCTGCTGCCCCTCCTGGTGCCCCTCCCAGTGCCCCCCAGGACCCCTGACCCCCCTCCAGGAGCGGGGTACCCACATCCACCCAGCTGGAGATGCCCCTCCCGGGACCATTCGCTCTCCGTGACGTGGTTTATTCCCCCCCTTTTTTTTTTTTTAAGCTGAATTTTGGCTTTTTCTCCCCCCCCCCCGCTCCCCTCCAGACCCCCTCGAAGCCCATGGGTGACCCCGAGCCGGGTGCCCGCCCCGCCAGGAAAGGGGGCACTTTGCCCCCCCGGGGCGGTGCCAGCGAGTCGAGCACGCTGCTGCAGGAGCTCCGGAGCACCATCTCGTAAGGGCAGCCTCCCAAAATCTGGGGGGAGGGAGGGGGAAAAGAGGGGATTCCATGGGGTTCAGTCATCTGCACCCCCCGGGGGGGGGACGAGGGGGCAGGGCCGTGGGAAGGGGGGCAGGGAGATGGGGGCACCGGGAAGGGCAGAGATGCCAGTTTTGGGGCACCAGAGGGTTCCCAGCAGCAGCTCCAGCTGGGATCCCATGGGATGTGGCTCTCCCTGGGCTTGGCAGGGGTGGCTCCGGGATGGGGCTGTGGGGGGGAGCAGGTTGGGGTCTGGAAAGGCCTCGGGAACCCTGGGATGAGCTGGGCAGGGTGGGCAGGGGGTGCTTTGGGGTCTGCCCTGCCCTGCCCTGCCCTGACAGCACCCCCATCTCCATCCCACCCAGCAAATCCGTGCAGAGCAAGGTGGACTCCATCCTGGTGAGTGCTTCCCGTGGGCTCTGGGAATCTCCACCTCCCCCCAGCCCTCCCCAGAACGGGAGCGTTCCCCGAATCCCTGAGGATCCTTATAACCCCTTCCTTGTCTCTGGACCCTTCGACCGTAGCAAGATGTGCAGAAGTTCTCAGACAGTGACAAGCTCTACCTGTACCTGCAGCTGCCCTCGGGGCCCAGCCTGGGCGAGAAGAGGTGGGTCTGGAGCTCCTGGGAGAGCCGGGAATGCCGGGATGGAGGTGGCACAGGGACAGGGTGGGGGGGGGACAGGGACAGGGGTGGTCGTGGGGTTGCCCAAAATCCAGGTGTAAAAGAGCCCTCTGAGACCCCTTCCTGCCCCTTAAAAACCTCCCTGCCCAGACCACCAACCTGCAACGATGAGCTGTGCAGGTCCTGCAGGGTTTGCTGACCCCAGTGATAAATCTGTGGGTCCTGCAGGGTTTGCTGACCCCCATGATAAAATCTGTGGGTCCTGCAGGGTTTGTTGACCCCCATGATAAAATCTGTGGGTCCTGCAGGGTTTGCTGACCCCAGTAATAAAATCCTGCAGGGTTTGCTGACCCCAGTGATAAAATCTGTGGGTCCTGCAGGGTTTTAAGCCACACTCATTGCCCTGTTTGGCCCCACTGGCTCTCCCCTCTGCCTTTCCCCCGCTGATGGGATGTTTCTGTGCCCCGGGAGCAGCAGCAGCAGCAGCAGCAGCCTGGACCTGAGTGCCCTGGGCACAGCCGAGTACATGCACGCCTGCAACTGGATCAGGAACCACCTGGAGGAGCACACGGACACCTGCCTGCCCAAGCAGGACGTTTATGATGCCTACAAGTGAGCCCAGGGCCAGGGCCAGGGCTGGGGGTGCTGGGGGTGTCCCTGTGCTGGGGCTGGATCCCAGGGAGCCAGAGGTTCCCATGGACGGGGACAGCAGGAGAGTGAATTCCATGGACAGGGACAGCAGGAGAGTGAATTCCATGGACAGGGACACCAGGAGAGTGGGTACCATGGACAGGGACACCAGGACAGTCCATTCCATGGACAGGGACACCAGGATAGCTCATTCCATGGACAGGGACACCAGGATAGTGGGTTCCATGGACAGGGACACCAGGACAGTGCATTCCAGGGACAGGGACACCAGGATAATACATTCCCATGGACACCAGGACAGGGTACCATGGACAGGGACACCAGGCTAGCTCATTCCATGGACAGGGACACCAGGATAGTGAATTCCATGGACAGGGACACCAGGAGAGTGGGTACCATGGACAGGGACACCAGGACAGTCCATTCCATGGACAGGGACACCAGGATAATACATTCCCATGGACACCAGGACAGGGTTCCATGGACAGGGACACCAGGCTAGCTCATTCCATGGACAGGGACTGTGGATTCCATGGCCAGGGCCACCATTCCCAGGGACAGGGAGCAGCTGGGAACACCTTCCCAGATGGGAGAGCAGCAGGAAGGGCTCCCTCCCTGGTTTGACCCTTCATCTCTCCCCTCAGGAGATACTGCGACAACCTGGGCTCCCGCCCCCTCAGCACGGCCAATTTCGGGAAGATCATCCGGGAGATCTTCCCGAACATCAAAGCCCGGCGCTTGGGAGGCCGAGGACAGTCCAAATATCCTGCCCTGCCCCCCGGAGCTGCTGCTGCTCCTGGTTTTTTTTCCTGGGGGTTTGGGGGGGGTTTTATCCCCTTTGTTTTGTAGATTTGGAGGGGATTTTGGGTCCCGGTTTGGGGGGGGGGGGGGGGAGCGGGGACACCCCTAGGGGTGGTTTTGGGGAGGTCTGGGGACTTCTGGGTGTCTGTTCCCATGTCAGGAAAATCCCTTAACGGGGCCTCAACGTACTGTTATGGGGGGATCAGGAGGAAAACCGTGGTCAGCCTCCCTCCCCTGCCCAGCCTGGACCTCAAAGTCACAGAGACCGTAAGTTTGGGGGTTTAGGTGGGGGGGATTTGAGGTCTGGGGTGGTGCAGGGGGGTGGATTTGGGGTCCTGAGAAGGAAGGGGGGGGTGCTCAGAGGAGAATGGGGTGGGGAGAGGAAAGAGGCAGGTCCTGCTCTGTCCCCTGAACCTGCTGTCCCCACTTTTTGAGGGGGGTCCTGCCCTGGTTTGGGGGGCGTGGGGGGGGTCTGGGTGAAGGTTTTTATGGGGTCTCCCAGCCCGTCCCGCCCCGGCAGTCGGAGCTGGCGGAGCTGGTGCAGTCCTACCCCAGCGAGGTGATGGAGGCCGCCTGCGCCCTGACCTGCGACTGGGCCGAGAAGATCCTCAAGCGCTCCTTCAACAACATCGTGGAGGTGGCGCAGTTCCTGCTGCAGCAGCACATCATCAGCTCCCGCTCGGCCCACGCCGACCTGCTCATGGCCATGGTGGTCTCAGGTGGGCGCAGACCCCCACTCAGAGGGGCTCAGAATTTTTATGGGGGCGTCTCATGGGATTTTTTTTTATTGGAGGAGGGGGGGAAACTCAGGGGTGTGTCCCATCGTCCCCCAAACCAGGGGGAGGCCTGTCCCCTCATCCCACCTTTGGGGGATTGTTGTCCCACCTTGGTGTGTGCCCGCAGAGAACACAGAGAAGACCCCCCAGGAGAACCGTCCCCCTCCCGCCGTCAAGAAGAACGGGCTGGACCCGCCCGAGAGCAACGAGAGGATCCCACAAGAACAGGTGAGGCTTTTCCCCCCCTCCAGAGCTGGGGGTGGGCAACTGGAATCACACCAACACCCCCACCAACACCCAGCTCTGTGTGTGTGTGTGTGTGTCGTGTCCCCCCCTCCCCAAAAAATCAACCACAGGGCAAGAAGGAGCCGCCCCCCAAACCCCCCGGGCGGCCGGAGAAGAAGAAACCCCCCGAGACCCCCCGCTCGTGCAGCAGCCCCCAGGTGAACGCCCTGGTGGCCCGCCTGCCCCTGCTCCTGCCCCGCATCCCCCCCCCAGAGCGACCCCCCGGGCCCCCCGCGCTCCGCCCCGGCCCCCCCGTGCTGGTGCCCCGTTTGACGGCGGCCCCGGGCACGGTCAAGGTGGCCCTGCCCTTGCCCGTGGGTGCCACCGCCGCCCCCTCGCTGCCCCTGGGGCTGCCCCCCGGCCCCGCGGGGCTGCTGAGCCCCCCCGCCGCCATCCCCGTGCTCAACGTGCTGCTGCCCGGGGTGGGGGTCCCGCCCGCCGACCCCGCTGCTGCCAACCCCCCCGGCGGCACCCGCGGCCCCGAGGGCGTGGGGACAGGGACGGTGACACCGCAGGAGCAGCAGCAGCAGCAGCAGCAGCGACCCAAGGGCACCAAGAGACCCCCGGAGCCCGGGGGGGACCCCGCCCTGCACAAGAGGAGGAGGGGGAGGCCCCGCAAGAGGCCCGAGGAGGGAGCCGGGGGGGGGTCCCCGGGGGCGGAGGGGGCCGGGGGGTCACCCGTGGGGGGCTCTCCCGGGGTCACCACCACCCACGGGGGGGGCTCTGCCCACGGGGGGGGGCCCGGGGGGGGCGCTGGTGGAGGGGGTGGTGCCACCGTTCCTGGTGACACCGTTCCTGTTGGGGACAGGCAGGTTGAGGGGGGGGGCACCGTCTCTGTCACTGCCAGTGCCACCAGCCCTGGGGACAGGGCAGTCGGTGGCAGTGCCACCATCCCTGTCAGGGACAGCACAGTCAGTGCCACCATCCCTGTCAGGGACAGCACAGTCAGTGCCACCGTCCCTGTCAGGGATGGCTCTGTCACTGCTGGTGCCACCAGTCCTGCTGGGGACAGCTCTGTCACTGCCAGTGCCACCAGTCCTGTTGGGGACAGCTCTGTCACTGCCAGTGCCACTGTCCCTGTTGGGGACAAGCCAGTTGAGGGCAGTGCCACCATCCCTGTCAGGGACAGCCCGGGCACTGCCAGTGCCACCAGTCCTGTTGGGGACAGCTCTGTCACTGGCAGTGCCACCACCCCTGGGGACAGGCCAGTCAGTGGCAGTGCCACCATCCCTGTCAGGGACAGCACAGTGAGTGGCAGTGCCACTGTCCCTCTTGGGGACAGGCCAGTCAGTGCCACCGTCCCTGTTGGGGACAGCCCTGCCAGTGGCAGTGCCACCCTCCCTGGGCGTGGCTCTCCCAGCAGTGACTCTCCCAGTGACAGTTCCAGTGTCCCCACTGGGGACAGGCCAGTTGAGGGCAGTGCCACCATCCCTGTCAGGGACAGCCCAGTCACTGCCAGTGCCACCAGTCCTGTTGGGGACAGCTCTGTCACTGGCAGTGCCACCGTCCCTGGGGGTGGCTCTCCTGGTGGTGACAGTTCCGGTGTCCCCACTGGGGACAGTCCAGCGAGGGGCAGTGCCACTGTCCCCGTGGAGGACAGGCCAGCCAAGGGCAGTGCCACCATCCCTGGTGGCGGCTCTCCCAGGGGTGACAGTGCCACCACCCCCATTGGGGACAGGCCAGGCAGTGGCAGTGCCACCATCCCTGTTGGGGACAGGCTGGTGAGGGACAGTGCCACTGTCCCCAGTGGTGGCTCTCCTGGAGGTGACAGTGCCACCACCCCCACGGGGGACAGGCCAGGCAGTGGCAGTGCCACCATCCCTGTCAGGGACAGCCCGGCTGGTGGCAATGCCACCATCCCTGTTGGGGACAGGCCAGTCAGTGGCAGTGCCACCATCCCTGTCAGGGACAGCCCATCCAGGGGCAGGGACACTGTCCCCATCAGGGACAGGCCTGTCAGTGGCAGTGCCACCATCCCTGTCAGGGACAGCCCATCCAGGGACAGATCCACCACCCCCATCAGGGACAGTGCCACTGTGCCCCCCAGGGACACCCCAGCCAGGGCCAGTGCCACCACCTCTGCTGGGGACAGGCCAGGCAGGGACAGTGCCACCAGAGACAGGCCAGGCAGTGCCACTGTCCCCACTGGGGACAGGCCAGGCAGGGACAGGGACACCACCCCTGTCAGGGACAGGCCAGGCAGTGCCACCATCCCCTCCAGGGACAGGCCAGGCAGGGACAGTGCCACCAGGGACAGGCCAGGCAGTGCCACCATCCCCTCCAGGGACAGCCCCTCCAGGGGCAGGGACACCATCCCTGCTGGGGACAGACCAGGCAGGGACAGGCCAGGCAGTGCCACCATCCCCACTAGGGACACTCCATCCAGGAGCAGATCCACCACCCCCGGCAGGGACAGGCCAGGCAGTGCCACCATCCCCACTAGGGACAGCCCAGCCAGGGGCAGTGCCACCTTGCTCCCCAGGGACAGCCCTGCTGGTGGCAGTGGCACCATCCCCTCTAGGGACACCTCACCCAGGGGCAGTGCCACCATCCCCCCAAGGGACAGCCCTGCTGGTGGCAGTGGCACCGTCCGTGCCAGGGACAGGCCGGTGGGTGGCAGTGCCACCATCCCCTCCAGGGGCAGCCCAGCCAGGGGCAGGGACACCAACCCTGTCAGGGACAACCCCCCCAGGGGCAGTGCCACCATTCCCCCCAGGGACACCTCACCGAGGGGCAGTGCCACCATCCCCTTTGGGGACAGATCTGCTGGTGGCAGTGGCACCGTCCCCAGCAGGTACAGCCCAGTCAGCGGCAGCAGCACCGTCCCCGGTGGTGGCAGTGCCACCCTGCCCCTCAGGGACACCCCACCCAGGGCCAGTGCCACCCTCCCCATCAGGGATGTCCCCTCCAGGCCCGTCCAGCCCACCCGTGTCAGCGTCATCAGGGACGGCAGGACCCGGGGCCGGGTGGACCCCCTGGCACTGCAGGGCCTCGGCAGGGCCGGGACCCCCCTGGGGGGCACCGGGGACTGGGGGGACCCCCGGGGACACCCCCACGCCGCGCCACGGGACGGACAGACGGGCACGGGGACAGGGACGGGTCCTGCTGC